GAAGTTATAGCACACATTAAACCACTACGCAGCTGGACAACTGTAGTCTCTAGCATCATTCGCCACGTGGCCTCATCGACTCCGAATATTGAATTCGGATTTTGCAATCGTCGTTGCGTATTTACCTGTTATCTGTGGTTTTTATAATACGTTTTTAGTAGTTGGGTGTCAAAAATGGGTAGTTAGTGTCAAAAATGGTTTGCGTGTACTCGGAGTTGATAGATATCGTTTTAATTTATGGTGAAGCGTTTGTGTTATGGTGAAACAAGACATCATTTGTGTTAGTTCGTAGAAAGTGAGTAAGACGGACCCAAATGTGTTTACACGTGAGTGGATAAAATTTTGAACAATTGCTGTTGCAGCATCGGGTATGTCAAATGATTTTATTATTTAAGAACACAAATTAATTTTATTAATAATTAATAAAGGCAAAAAAAGCATTTGAATTTGCCGATATAAAATAGGTGCGATAAAATTCTATTTACATATTTCTTTCCTTTCGAAAGTTTTTGTCCGTTTATATCACGCCGCCATAACGCATTGCGCGAGGTCAGGTTTTACAGTGGACCAGTTTCCAGTGCCGTGCAGAAGTGTATTTTTAAATCAATTTCGAACTGACCTTTTTGATTTTTTCTTTACAAAATTGTATTTTGTAAGGGTCCCCTGTACATCCAGATTTTTTTTTTGGATAAGTTCTGAATCACCCTGTATACAAGTGTTGGATAAAAGTTTTACATCTAACCCCATTTCAACATCCGGGTACGCCATCAAAACATCCCACTTGTCCTGATATCTTATTTTCAATCCTATAAATCTTCATGTTTTCTACGTTTATGGGCAGTACAGGTAGGAAGAATTACCAAGAGCAGGAATTCTGAATCGATTTTTTTTTATGTTACCTACTCAAGCGTTTTTGTCAGATCCGTCCAAGGTCCTAATTTAATAAATTCCATTCACTTACCAAAGCAAAGCAACTCACCTGAGACAGATTGACAATTGAATAAAATATAATTCCAAGTGAGCTATTGAATAAGGATAATACATTTTTTTGTTGTAGTGCACTGAAAGAAATACGCTTTATTCTTTATTAGAATTCTAAGCTCCATTATAAGAACATTGTATACTATATGTGACAGATAAACAGGTGAATAATGGATATAAAACGTGTATTGCTAACATAGATGTATAGTGATTATACACCATATTCTTTATTAAATTATTGTATAACTGGTATTCAACCACGGGTAATAAATACACTGTATGAAATAATACTATAATATTAAACTGTTCTATACTCGTTATTAGAACATCTAGTACTAATTATAAGCTCTATAATAATAAATGATCTATTAAATTGTTGTATATACATGGTGTTCTTAAATAAGTGTCGCAACGGAAAACTGTACATTCCTCTTGAAAAAAGAAACAATTTTTTCCTCTTCCATTTTTCTCTTCGGGCTTTCGTTTTCGAGATACACAGAGTTTTTCGCCAATATCTTTGGAATGGTTTGAACTACACGACTGAGCTTTTGTACACACATTACCACTATTAATAGCTACTTTTTCGCACCCTTCTCGAATTCATTGGACGTGCCAGTGGTGGAGATTTTAAGGTATCGTAAGGGTTTTTCCCCCCCTAAATTTTACGCCACTGGAAAAATTGACTTTTGACAGCAAATTCTAAAGCGCCAATGAATTTTATACAATAAGAGTTCTCTTGGTTCATTGCTCTAAAGTCAACCGTTTTCAAGAAAAATGACTTTTTATGAACAAAAGCAAACATTTTGCTAACGTTTCGAAAATTTTTTGCATTTTGCATTTTGAACATTTTGCAAGTGCAAGTAACTGAACAGAACATCCGGAGAACGAAATGCATCGTTTATGAAATCCATGTCAATACTATCGAAAAGTTGACCGATAGAGGTGAAGCCGCAGCGGCAGAAAGAAACATGATTAGAAGATGTAATGCGTGCATTCAAGCCAACGGACGTAATTTTGAACAGTTTCTGTAAATTTTACTCGCCAAATTGATAAAAAAAAGTTAAAATCCTATCTGTTGTTAAATTTCGTTAAAATTGTTAATTATTACTACCTATTTTTTGAATTACAAAAGATTTTCGAAACGTTAGCAAAATGTTTGCTTTTGTTCATAAAAAGTCATTTTTCTTGAAAACGGTTGACTTTAGAGCAATGAACCAAGAGAACTCTTATTGTGTAAAATTCATTGGCGCTTTAGAATTTGCTGTCAAAAGTCAATTTTTCCAGTGGCGTAAAATTTAGGGGGGGGGAAACCCTTACGATACCTTAAAATCTCCAGCACTGGCACGTCCAATGAATTCGAGAAGGGTGCGAAAAAGTAGCTATTAATAGTGGTAATGTGTGTACAAAAGCTCAGTCCCGTAGTTCAAACGATTCCCAATATATTGGCGAAAAACTAAACAAAAATTAAAGTTTTGACACCGTGTATCTCGAAAACGAAAGCCCGGAGAGAAAAATGGAAGAGGAAAATAATGTTTCTTTTTTCAAGAGGAATTTACAGTTTTCCGTTGCGACACTTATTTAGGAACACTTTGTATACTATGACAATTTTCTAATAACACTTAAGGAAAGGATTTAATTCTAATAACACTTAAGGAATATGATATGAATATACAGGGTGTCCCAAAATTAAACGGTAATACTTAAAAAACAAATGGGTAATATTTTCCTGAAAAAAAAATAATAAATTTCATGAACAAATGTTTATAAAAAAATTTACAGGGCATTAAAATTAAAAAAAAGTTTCGTAATCTCAAAAATGAGTAAACAACAGAGTTTTATGAAAATTTATAGATAACCTAAAAGGCAAAAATATTAGACGCTCTATAGGTATGGTAAAGTGTGTTTTGCAAATTTAGCATCGAACGTTAAATTTTTAATTGGTAAACACGTTTTAGCAAAACGCATAAACTTATGGCAACATAATTTTTTTGTTGCCTTTGCAAATATTTTACTAAAATACCCTGGCATAGCGCCTCACTTGGATGATTTTTTTCAGTGTAAGATAAGGAATAAGGATAATAAATTTTTTTGTTGTAGTGGTAAACACGTTTTAGCAAAACGCATAAACTTATGGCAACATAATTTTTTTGTTGTCTTTGCAAATATTTTACTAATAGTAGCTAAAATACCCTGGCATAGCGCCTCACTTGGATGATTTTTTTCAGTGTACGGTGAGTTGCTCACTTGGGGTTAATGAGTTGCCTCGCTTAGGGGAAAAAAAAATCTAGCAAAACTTTCTGCTTAGTGCCAAGTAGGCTCTCTTTAGCAAAGCGTTTTTCGTTGTTTTGCTATGGTTAGTGGACAGAAAAAAATTCTCAGTGCATAACAGGTTATGATTAACAGAACATGCAGGCAACTCTTTTTTGTGTGCTTGTGTTAGTAAAGTTTGCTTACAAGCATACTACATTATATTTCAGTTATAATCAGCAGTGGCAGTTATAATCAGCAGCAATAATTAGCTAATCTTTCTATTTCCAGCGCCCCTTACATTTTTAAACTGATATAAAATAAATACATTTAAGGCCTGTATAAAAAAATTCTAGAATTTTGAGAAGATATCTGGGGTCTTAATAGGTTTGATATAATAGCTCAAGTAATTGCTTTATCTTTGAATAAAAACAATAGTGTAATTTACAGGGCTTGTATTAATTGGTTTTTACGACTTGAAACAAACTGTTTATGTATTTTCCGTAATATTACAAATATTTTATCAGTTTAACGAAACATTTCCGGACACGCTTATAGGAATTTTATTTTGTGCTGTTTAGACAAGTATTTTATCTATACCTCTTAAGTTTGGAGATAACTGACACGACAACGTCTAATAACTATTCCCATTGGTTAACGCCGAGACCAATAGAACGCAAACTTCATAGGACTAGCCTACTATTCATGGTAGATTTCACTCAGATTGTCACAAAATGTGAAAATGACGTACATTTTACAGTTCCTAATGAAAATAGTTACTTCAGGAATTAAAGTGTAAATAATATTTTCCCAGGGATTAAATTTACTTTTGGTTTGTCAAAATAATTTGACATGAGATGATATCTAATGAGATTTCTGATAAAAAGTTAATCTGAATGTTTCTGGGGTGTTCTTTTTTGTTATCTGATGGTTAAATTTTTGAATAAAATAAAAATAAAATTAACATTTTCTTTAAAAAATTTCCATTTCTAAAATTCTGCAAAAAAATGTTGGAAAGGGAATGTGATGGAATTAGACGACATATTATTAGCATATGAATTGCTATTTTTATATAATTTAATTAAAACAAGTCGTTGACAGTGACTAACTTGTGCTTTTAATTGCATTTTTGAATGCTAAAAAGTAATATGTCGATTTATATTTTTATTTCACGACATAATTTGCAAACAAAGTTCGGTAAGCATTTGTACTCGTTTTTATGTTTGTACATTATAAATATAAAAATAATAAAGCAAATATTTGACAGCAACTTTATTTACCTATCTTAAATTTCTAGTAAATATACTACAATTTTTGCGTTAATAATTTAATAACGAGTGTTCAGACTGAAATTTCGAATATAGCAGTGTGTAAATATGATGGTTATCAGCTGATATAAGCAAATATCTCGATTTTGAGATCGACTTTTCAGATTCTTTGATTGCGCGGTAGCGGTGTTCTATATTCTATTCAAATATTGGGAAAAGTACCCAGTTCTAATAAAAAAAAACTGATGAATACTATTAGTTAATTAAACCTATGTATACTTTAGAAATTATTCACCCGTCGTTTTTAGATGACAGATGCGATCAATTTTAGTTCTACAGTTTAAAAAACCAATTAATATTTTCCTGCTATCTCTAAATTATACAAACTTGATAGGTAAGTATTATAAAAATAATTTCAATAACTTTGTTATTAATTGTAAGAAATAACAAATAATGTCTTTATTTTTATAATATTCAAATTATTTTATGTAAGTAATAGAACTGTTATTTGATATGTATTTATTTTTTTACTTTTACAGTATTATCGGATGTTACATATTATTAGAATCTGTTATATCTATCTGAATCTAATTATGTATTGACTAACAAATTTTAATAGAAGTTGAATTAATTAATGTCTGAATCGTTCTGGATGTTCTGGATCTTCGGGAGCTCTGGGATCTTCAGGATCTTCAGGAGCCCTGGGATCTTCAGGGTCTTCTGGAGCTCTGGGGTCTTCAGGATCTTCAGGAGCCCTGGGGTCTTCAGGATCTTCAGGAGCCCTGGGATCTTCAGGGTCTTCTGGAACTCTGGGGTCTTCAGGATCTTCAGGAGCTCTGGGATCTTCGGGATCTTCAGGAGCCCTTGGGTCTTCAGGATCTTCAGGAGCCCTGGGGTCTTCAGGATCTTCTGGAGCCCTGGGGTCTTCTGGGTCTTCAGGTGCTCTGGGGTCTTCTGGATCTTCAGGAGCCCTAGGATCTTCTGGTTCGTCAGCTGCTGGTCGTGGGTCTTCTGGAGCTCTGGGATCTTCTGGATCTTCGGGAGCCCTGGGGTCTTCTGGATCTTCAGGAGCCCTGGGGTCTTCAGGATCTTCGGGAGCCCTGGGATCTTCTGGGTCTTCGGGTGCTCTGGGGTCTTCTGGATCTTCAGGAGCTCTGGGGTCTTCTGGGTCTTCGGGAGCTCTGGGGTCTTCTGGATCTTCAGGAGCTCTGGGGTCTTCTGGATCTTCAGGAGCCCTGGGATCTTCTGGATCTTCAGGAGCTCTGGGGTCTTCTGGATCTTCAGGAGCCCTGGGATCTTCTGGGTCTTCAGGAGCTCTGGGGTCTTCTGGATCTTCTGGAGCCCTAGGATCTTCTGGGTCTTCTGGAGCCCTAGGATCTTCTGGTTCGTCAGCTGCTGGTCTTGGGTCTTCTGGGTCTTCTGGGTCTTCTGGAGCTCTGGGATCTTCTGGATCTTCAGGAGCCCTGGGATCTTCTGGGTCTTCAGGAGCTCTGGGGTCTTCTGGATCTTCGGGAGCCCTTGGGTCTTCTGGGTCTTCAGGAGCTCTGGGATCTTCAGGATCTTCAGGTGCTCTGGGGTCTTCGGGATCTTCTGGAGCTCTGGGATCTTCAGGATCTTCAGGAGCCCTGGGGTCTTCGGGATCTTCAGGAGCTCTGGGGTCTTCGGGATCTTCAGGAGCCCTGGGATCTTCGGGATCTTCAGGGGCTCTTGGGTCTTCTGGATCTTCAGGAGCCCTAGGATCCTCTGGTTCGTCGGCTGCTGGTCGTGGTTCTTCAGGATCTTCAGGCGCCCTTGGATCTTCTGGATCTTCAGGAGCCCTTGGATCTTCTGGGTCCTCGGGAGCTCTGGGGTCTTCAGGATCTTCGGGTGCTCTGGGGTCTTCTGGATCTTCAGGAGCCCTGGGGTCTTCTGGGTCTTCAGGGGCTCTTGGATCTTCTGGGTCTTCAGGAGCCCTTGGATCTTCTGGATCTTCTGGAGCTCTAGGATCTTCAGGGTCTTCTGGAGCTCTGGGGTCTTCAGGATCTTCAGGAGCCCTGGGGTCTTCTGGGTCTTCAGGGGCTCTAGGATCTTCTGGGTCTTCAGGAGCCCTGGGCTCTTCTGGATCTTCTGGGGCTCTAGGATCTTCTGGATCTTCTGGAGCTCTGGGATCTTCTGGCTGTTCTGGTTCTTCTAATGCTTCAGATTTAATTTTAATGTCAATTTCGAAGACATCTCCGTGAGATGATCTCACCCTATCAATATCGATAGCATGGCCACTTACGTTGACCTGAAAAAAATATTTCTTATATTACTCTTTCCTTATTATTGCAGTTTGTCGAAATTTGTATAGAATATGCGCATACAGAATAAATGATACATAATATTCAAAACATAAAAATTAATGCTTTTTATTAGTTTCAATTTTCAGATTTTGTCTGCAGGTAATTTTCTACGAGCACTAATCATTTCTGTTTGTAAAAATTAAATTTCATATTAACGGCTGAACACAAATGTATTTAGACAGTTTTTTTTTCAGTTATGATACAGAATTATAATTTTTATGAGTTATAAAAATAGCACTTGTTAAGCAAATAATGTAAATTTGATTCTACTAAGAAAATATGGATGTACTTACAGAAAGTGCCAACACAAGGGCAAGAGCAGCAAGGCAAGCAATAGTCTTCATTGTTACTTCAGCTGCAGACTGGATTAATAATGATTTGGTCGAGTATTTATACAAAATTAGACAGTTCTATCTCGAGAACTTTGGCGGGGAATATTTTGCGGGAATGTGAAGTACCTAGATCTCTATCTTAATAGCACGTAAGACGTTAAGGAGGAATTTGAAATATTTGAAACATTTGAAACATCAAAAGCCTTTGTTTTTTGTGCATAACATGACACAAAGTTGAAATTAACACCCATTATATGACTTCACGAAATTATAATGCGATATTTTAAGATTTATGCAATAAATCAAGAAATGCTTCTTAAATTTATGAAATTCCGCGTCATCCCATCTTCACCTGTGAATGACACGTTTGTTTACCTTTAATTAATTAAATCGCTGGTCCCAGATTCATCAGCCGGTGTCAGATGTCTTGAGATATATTTATGTGCGATGCAAAAACTGGTATAGGTGTTTGCGTTTCAAGTTATTCTGAGTAAAAATCCATTCGAATATTTATGCTAAAGAATCCCTATTCGTACTTCTCCAATCTTTGCACAAAAAAATGATCTCTTCGAATCATAAAGTAAGTGGGACAAGCTTTTAACAATTGTGCATGAGTAGGCGTGGGTAAAATTTGTGCAAAGTGGATTTCAAAATTGTCGACTGATAAAAAACTGCTTGGGTAGTAAATTTCTCGAAATCATCTAACATTTTTGGATGTAGTTTTGAAACAATCTGAATGGTTTTTACGAAAGTGGGCCTCAGTCAATTGAAGATGATCCTCGACCAGGAAGGTCTTCGACTTCAACTGGTGACTGCCACGTTGAGAAACTCAAAGATCTGGTGCGTGTAAATCGCTGATTTACTCTCAGAGAAATTGCAGAAGAGGTTAGCATCTCAATTGCGTCATGCCATGAAATTTTGACTGGAAAATTGAACATGCATAGAGTTGCAGCAAAATTTGTACCGCGTTTGATGCTCGAACAACAGAAAGAAAAATCGTGCAGATGTTTGTCGGCAAAACAGTTGTCTCATGATTTTAAATGAGACTTTATTTTTTTCTTTTTCGGAATATCTGAAATGAGACATTTTTCCTCATCTCCACCATGTTGAGGGTATGCATAAACATCCTTCGTAAAACAAATGTAAAAAATCCCATTAGACGTAAATCAAACAAGTATTCCATGACGATCGTTAATTACCAACTGTTTTAATAATTTAATTGTCACTTCAAGTGCCAAATATTTGTTTCAAGTTGACAAATGAGTAGATAAAACAAAAATGTAAAATAGAGGAAATGAGATTACACTTAATAATAAATAAAAATAAAAGTATTATTTGAAAAATAAATCATAGGGGTACCTAGTCAAAGTCAAACATACAATACGATGAATTTGTATGATCTAGCAACTAACACTACCTGCTTTAACAAATTCTCTATAGGCCTTCTTTCTGTTGCCAGCTTTATCTCTCTGTGATATTTCTTAAGGTGTTGCACAAAATTTAATATAATGGTGGGAAGTCAGGAGGAAGTCACTGGTATATAAAAGATCCATCTCTAGCTATAAGTATTACTTAAATGGTGATATCACATTGGATCTTTGCGACTGTTTAATTTTGTTTAATTTTAAGAAGTTCTGGAAGTTATTCATCGAGAAAAAGCAAATAATTCCAGAAAAATAGTCAATAAAATTAAACGATTTTTGATGATGCCACACTAGACATTTATAACGATGGGGACGTGGTTGTGTATTTCGTTATTTACATGTAAGATTTCAATGGAGACAACAATATCAATTTTTGTTATTATTTCATTTCATTAGTCCAAGGAATATGTTGGAAAAGTCGACGGTCAGTAATTTCAACTTCTTTTCTAATTCTCTTCTCCAGTAAGTAAAATTGGGTACTATCATAAAGTTTAAATTTGCAATATCTTAAAAGCCAACGTATAAAACTACTTAAAAAACAATTGTAATTGATAAACACAGATACCTATTAAAAATAGGGTACTTAACATTTAGTTACTACAAAATTGGTTTAGTCAACAAACCTCATACATAATCTTCATGTACTTACAAAATGTTTTCTCATTCAGAAAAAGTTGATATGTTGCTAATTTACGGCTAGTCACAAAAAAATTCAAGAAGAGCTGTAGAGTTATATCGAGAAAGGTATCCAGAGCGCCTCATTCCTGATCATAGAATCTTTACAAGATTGGAGGCGACCTTGCGACGAAGTGAAGATGCATTTTCTATTAGGAAAAATCAAATAATACACCGAAGGATAAGAAACAATCTTAACACAGCTAGATTCTTACAGTATTTGGAACAAAATCCGCGAAATTCTATACGGCAGGCTAGTCGGGAATTGTATTTGGATAAATCAGCCGTTCAACGAATTTTAAGGACCAGTGGGTATCATGACTATAAAATTCACAATTTAGAGTGTTTGCCTGAGCGTCACATTGAAAACAGACTTAATTTTATAGCACAAATTGTAGTAAATGAAGAAACTGTTAACCAGAACCTTTTTCTGCACGTTCTTCGGACGGACGAAAGTCGGTGTGTCAGTGACAATGACATAATCCCCCCGCAACACCTGACGAACTAAGACTGACAATACGCAGACTGAAAAACAGAAAAGCCCCCGGACCCGACAATATACATAACACGACACTTAAACGACTACCACACAAGGGCCTCATGGGGCCTCATGGCCCTACTAAACATAACAAACGCGACACTCAGACTAAGACACTTCCCTAACCGCTGGAAAACAGCAAACATAATCCTTATCCCAAAACCCAACAAAGATCACACCATCCCATCCAACTACTGGCCCATTAGCCTGCTCCCTATCTATCCTAACCCGTCTAAGAACCCACTCCCAAGAACTGCAAGTCATTCCAGACGAGTAGTTCGCCTTCCGACCCAATCACTCCACTGAACTCCAAATCCTTCGCCTTACCGAGCACATCACGGCGGCCTTCAACAGGGGACAGTACACTGGTGCTGTCTTCCTGGACGTCGCAAATGCCTTCGATACGACTGATGAAAATGCTCACCAACCAATATCCCATATCCTTTACCAAACTCATAAAATCCTACCTACACCACCGAAAATTCCGCATCCAAATCCAAGATTCCCTTTCCACCACCCGTCCCATGGAGGCCGGTGTCCCCCAGGGCACCGTCCTGTCCCCACACCTATACACCATTTACAACTCCGACATCCCACATCCCCCCAACACCAACATATACTTATACGCCGACGACCTGACAATCACATCCCAATCCGTAGATCCTAGATATTCCGTCTCCCTCCTCCAAAACTCCTTAGACCAACTTGAAACCTGGTGCAACAGGTGGAAAGTCAAAATTAATCCCAACAAAAGTTCGGCTATCCTTTTTACCAAACGAAAAATCCCACAAAACCTCGACAGACTGACACTATCCCAGGAACCCATCTCCTGGAATAGACAAACACGATACCTGGGCGTGACGATGGACCAGCGTCTCACGTGGAAACCGCACATCGTGGAGACGGTGGCGCGAGCGAAGACCACCAGGGCTAGGCTCTATCCCTTACTCAAAGGTGGAAACACCCTCAGTTTAAGGAATAAGCGAACGCTTATCAAGGTGGTACTTCAACCGCAGCTAACCTACGCCTCCACGGCGTGGGGTCACGCGGCAAAAAGCCACTTAAAGTCATTACAGGCTGTGGAAAACATAGCCCTCCGCACGGCCACCAACGCGCCCTGGTACGTAAGAAACTCTGACATATTACGAGACTTACAATACACAAACGCTACACAGACAATAAGACAAAACGCGGAGAAACGATTTGACGTAGCCGCTAGACATGACAATCCCCTCCTCAGGCAAGCCGTTGACTACGTACCCGACGTGACCGACAAACACAAAAGACCTAGACACCAACTTTTTGACCCTGGGTGACCACCCCAACGACATCCCCCCCCCTGCCCGCTAACCTTTTCTGTTTCAGAGACAGCCAGGATCAAGAAACGAAGACAACGACACACACACACACACACATACACACTCCCCATACCCTCCTTACCCCTCCCCTCCCGCGCTAGCGTAAGGGCCACCTTAGCAAAGCGCATCCCAGGCTGCATAGCCGCACTACCCTACCCAACCATACCACACATAAACATGACACACCCCCGGGGTTTACACAGACGAGCCGGCGAAGCAAGAAGAGCGCCAGAAGAAAGGGCCCTAGCCGGCGGGGCCCAGCCAGGACAAAAGGAGGTCCCACAAAGCGCCTACACCGGCCGCATTTGCGGTCGGGGTAGACGACGGATGGGGCCCACCTACGAAGGCTGTCCAGGCCTACACGAGATGAGACAGGATGAAGAGGGATAATCCCCCTCGATCCCAAATCATTGAGGCCAATTTCTAGCCATGGAATAATAGCGCGGCGCGGTGTGTCAGTAATGGTTTGCCAAACAGGCGCAACGAACATTACTGGTCCATTGAAAATCCTCACATTGTAAATCTAGTCTGAAACCAAGGACATTTTGGAGTAAATGTATGGTGCGGCATCATCGGTAGGCATTTCATTGGGCCTTAAGGCCGATTCTCATTAGACGAGCAAGAAACCGGATCGGCAACGGCAGGGCACATGCTCGGCATGGGCCGAGTTTTCAGAGACTATTCACATTGCGACAGGCATGCCGCAGGTAGTAGTTCCATAGCTTTGTGAAATAATGTTCGCGACTTCCATTTTGGTAAAAATTGTTCTAATCTTAGATGAAGAAGAGCAAGAAAATAAAAATTCCCGAAAAAGAAAATGACGTTCTGTATTAGAAAGTGCCACAGAACTTTGTTTGTGCTTTTCAGGATGTTTTTGTAAAATTTTTCTTTTTGCATCTCTTGCATTTCGAGCATTTTTGAATTCTATATCATGGAAAGGATCAAAGGACCTGTTATACTTATTAAAGTAAAGTTCTTGAACTAATTTTGCCGTTTTATTCCACATTGTCTTTATTACTGCTTCTTTATAATCATTTCCGTCTTTTCTTTTCATGTTATAAGCCCAATCTTTCAAAATCAATGCCAGAGTAGCTGTTGTAGTAGATTGATCCAGAATATAATTTCTTTCTTTGGTGAAGGTCTTAAATTGTCTCCATATAGACTGATTACTTATTAGAGTATTTTTCGAAGTAGTTTCTACAATCTTTTTTGTTATTTCTGCATCAGAAAAGGTACTAAACCGATGATTTTCACCCATTTTATATATCGCGTTGACACAATTAGGTAATTATTTTGACAACTATCTGACACTTGCTACGCAAATAAAAGCCACAGTGATTATTCCCGAGAATAATCNTTTAAATTACAAAATTTTATTGTTAAGAAATTGTGTTTGTTTTAATATATCTGTATAGATTAATACATGTTTAATAAATATACCTACCTTGTTGCAATTTCTCGCCAATTTTTTTCCATATCATGTTTTTGTAGACACTGTCTGAGTATTTTTTGTGAGAAAAATCGTAAATAACCTCATTTTCTCTGATATATTCAATAAGAATTTCATCTTGTTCTGACGAAACTCAACTAAAAACCCTATGATTGCAAGTTGACTGCCTGGAGAGTATTCACACTTGCCGGAACATGCACGGCACATGCCCTGCAAATATTCTTTCGGAAGAACGTCGCGTGCAAAGTCTGTTGCTTGCCGAGACGCTGCACGTATAGTGTGAATTACACCCCTCAAAACCCATAAGATACAATGGTTAAGATATTTTGCCGAACCGGTGCCTTGCCTGTGCCGAGCATATGCCTCGCACGCAAGTGAGAATCGGCCTTTATTTTTCTGAACATACATTGAACAGCGTGAGTTACCTAATTTTCCTACAAGAAGAACTTTCTGCGCTTCTGGAGAATGTGCCTCTGCAGCTAAGGAGAAACCTATGATTTCAGTACGACGGGGCTCCACCCCACAAGTACAGGATTGAGTAGCAATATTTAGATAATACTTTCCCAAAAAAATGCATGGCTTAATGGACCTATTCAGTGGCCCGAAACTCTCCAGATCTAACAACCCTCGATTTTTTATGGGGGGTTTTAAAAAACACCGCGAGATATTAATCATTTGAAAGACAACATCACAAACGCTTGTACTGAGTTAAACGTCAAAACACAGCCCACAAAGAAGTCAGGCGAAGATTGGATATGTGTCTTGAAATGAGAGGTCATATAGAGAATAGATTGTAATATGTATGTAGTATGAAAGTGTTTGCCTCACTTTTTAAATTTAGTTATTGTTATCATCACCTTTTGTTTTAACTTTATTACAGAATTATCGAGTTTAATCCTTTTATTTATTCTTAATGACATTTATGCACTTTGAACAACGAACGTTCAATTATTTATATATTTTCCAACAACCACTTGATCCTTTCACAGCTGATGTGATTTTTAGGTGGTATTTCTTTTGAGACTCTTTAAGACGATATTGCTTATAACTTTTAAACGGGAATTAATGCAGAAAAAATTCTCTAATAAAAGTTTATATGAAAAAAAGAGAGATTTTTAACAGGGAAAAATTTGGGTATGTTTCTGAAAAAAATATAATTGATGACGTCATTAGTCGTTTCTGTCAAATCCTAAAGATAATACTTTCGATTGAAAATGGAACTTACCTCATCCCATTTAACAACACGTGTTACAAATTATATTTTAATTTTTTGTCTCCTCCCAGAAGCGCATACTATTGAGTTGCACAAAAATAATTCACACTACACGCAAGTAGGTAATTTAGAATAGAAAACTGACAGTTGGAAACACAAAAATCGACACTTCACCGATTTTCATAGTAAACACATAATCTCTAACTGAATTTAAAAAATAGATTGCAATCCACAAATAACGAATATTAATTTTGATTCTGTACAAATGTGCTTTAAATAAAATAACAGTTCCCACCACTACAGAATGATAATTTTCGAAACGGTGACTGTAGTTGCCACTTTCTTGTTTACCTCAAATCCTAACCAATGAAATACAGTGGCTATAGGAGAAAACGGACAAGACATGACGTTGTTTTTGTTCTATTAATGAGGAAAGCAAGTAACCGCTTTGAATATCGAGAAGGCGATTTGTATTTTCGGCTTATCGGTTTCAAGTTTCTGTAGCTCTTTTAAGATATTTTAACATCGATTACACTCAGGTATAGAAAAATCCAAACATTTAGTGGTCGTATTTGTTTAAAGTCGGGCATATAAAATAATGTCAGGTCAAAAATGTAGATGATCGAAATATACAGGGTGAGTTGGGATGATAGCACCAAACTCCAGTAATGGATTCTAGATTTGATTGGTCGATGGGCACGATGGGGCTCCTGCACATTTCGCTCATCCAATCAAGCTACATTTGAACGAGAGGTTTCCAAGGCGTTGGATTGACCGCGGTGATCCTATTAGTTGGCCTCCAAGATCTCCAGACCTCACATACTAGACTGTTTATGGGGCTGGTTTAAAAATGAAGTGTACAAAGTTAGAGTGAACACTCGGGATGCACTAATTCGACGTACTGCAGCACTTATTAAAAAAAGACATGCAGCAATCAGGAGAAAGTGTTTAGAGGTCAATGGTGTTTTTGAGCATTTAATCAAAGAACGCTAGGATTAATAGAATATCAACAAATAAGTGTTTTTGTTGAAATGTACGTTTGACAATAAGTGAAAATCGCATAACAACATTTGAGTTTTTTTTATTATTTTGACTTATAATCCATTTCTGCAGTTTGATGCGATTATCCCGAATCATCCTGTATATTCTTCTATGTTCTTGCAATCCAAACATCTCATATAAATATAGTTTTGTTGCTTCTGACCATGGCTTTTGACCTTGACTTAATAGCTGCTTTCCATTTATCGGTGAACTGCTCCTGAAGTGTTCCTCTACAATTCTGCTATTTAAATATTTCAATTTTAGACATCCCCGAGAGAAACACACAAGCATATATAAATATTTTTCAAGTATTTGTATTTATCATTGTGAGCCAGAACAGTTTGAGAGAATAAGACTCTTTCTCTTTGGTAAATGGTAATGCGAGAGGTGTCTGGGGAAAACAAACAAGAACTCTTTCGGAGGTCTGGCTTTTTGGAACCTACAAAGTCAATCTGAAGTGTTTCGGAAGTACTTCCTATGTAAGTACATTTGTTGTCAATTGAGAACAAGTTATATGTACTTCAGTCTTTTTTTATATGTACCATTATTAATTATTACAGTAAATTTTAGCTCTACTCTGAAAAACGTAATTAACATTTTCCTTCATAAAAACTCCATCTCTAAATAGCACAAGTATAAAAAAATGTTGTTAGGTCCTATGAAAATTTCATTCTCTTTTACTGTTTTGTTATTAATAGTAAGAAGTAAATGCCGTTTTCAATTATTTCTGTAAATATTGAAATTACTTTATGTAAGTAAAGGAAATATTTGATATCCATTTAAGCTTTTATTTTTACAACATTAATGGATGTTACATGTTATTAGAACTTGTTGTATCTACATGAATCTCTATATGTATCTGAGAAACAGCTTTTAGTAGAAATTGATTTAATTAATATCTGTGTCGTTCTGGATCCTCTGGAGCTCTTGGGTCTTCAGGATCTTCTGGAGCCCTGGGGTCTTCGGGATCTTCTGGAGCCCTGGGGTCTTCGGGATCTTCAGGAGCTCTGGGGTCTTCGGGATCTTCAGGAGCTCTTGGGTCTTCAGGATCTTCTGGAGCCCTGGGGTCTTCGGGATCTTCAGGAGCTCTGGGATCTTCGGGGTCTTCAGGAGCCCTGGGGTCTTCAGGATCTTCAGGAGCTCTGGGGTCTTCGGGATCTTCAGGAGCTCTTGGGTCTTCAGGATCTTCTGGAGCCCTGGGGTCTTCGGGATCTTCAGGAGCTCTGGGATCTTCGGGGTCTTCAGGAGCCCTGGGGTCTTCAGGATCTTCAGGAGCTCTGGGGTCTTCTGGATCTTCTGGAGCTCTGGGGTCTTCTGGATCTTCAGGAGCTCTGGGATCTTCTGGTTGCTCTGGTTCCTCTAATACTTCCGATTTAATTTGAATGTCAATTTCTAGAATATGATTTTCTGGAGCCCTGGGGTCTTCGGGATCTTCAGGAGTCCTTGGGTCTTCTGGGTCTTCAGGAGCTCTGGGATCTTCTGGATCTTCAGGTGCTCTTGGGTCTTCTGGATCTTCTGGAGCTCTTGGGTCTTCTGGATCTTCTGGAGCCCTTGGGTCTTCTGGGTCTTCGGGTGCTCTGGGGTCTTCAGGATCTTCAGGAGCTCTAGGATCTTCGGGATCTTCTGGAGCCCTGGGATCTTCAGGATCTTCTGGAGCCCTGGGATCTTCAGGATCTTCGGGGGCCCTGGGGTCTTCTGGATCTTCGGGAGCTCTGGGATCTTCAGGATCTTCAGGTGCCCTTGGATCCTCTGGATCTTCTGGTTCGGCAACTGCTGGTCGTGGTTCTTCAGGATCTTCTGGGGCTCTGGGGTCTTCTGGATCTTCGGGGGCTCTGGGGTCTTCTGGATCTTCGGGAGCTCTGGGGTCCTCTGGATCTTCAGGAGCCCTTGGGTCTTCGGGATCTTCAGGAGCCCTGGGGTCTTCGGGATCTTCGGGAGCCCTGGGGTCTTCTGGATCTTCGGGAGCTCTGGGGTCTTCAGGATCTTCTGGAGCCCTGGGGTCTTCGGGATCTTCAGGATCTTCGGGGGCCCTGGGGTCTTCTGGATCTTCGGGAGCCCTGGGATCTTCTGGATCTTCAGGTGCCCTTGGATCCTCTGGATCTTCTGGTTCGGCAACTGCTGGTCGTGTTTCTTCAGGATCTTCTGGGGCCCTGGGGTCTTCAGGATCTTCTGGGGCTCTGGGGTCTTCTGGATCTTCGGGAGCTCTGGGGTCTTCTGGATCTTCAGGAGCTCTAGGGTCTTCGGGATCTTCAGGAGCTCTAGGGTCTTCGGGATCTTCTGGAGCCCTGGGATCTTCGGGATCTTCAGGAGCTCTTGGGTCTTCAGGATCTTCTGGAGCCCTGGGGTCTTCTGGATCTTCAGGAGCCCTGGGGTCTTCGGGATCTTCAGGAGCTCTGGGGTCTTCGGGATATTCAGGAGCCCTTGGGTCTTCTGGGTCCTCAGGAGCTCTGGGGTCTTCTGGATCTTCAGGAGCTCTGGGATCTTCAGGTTGCTCTGGTTCTTCTAATGCTTCAGATTTAATTTTAATGTCAATTTCGAAGGCGTCATCGTGAGATGATCTCACCCTATCAATATCGATGGCATGGCCATTTACGTTGAACTGAAAATATTATCTTATATTAGTTTTCCTTTATAATTATGACTGTAGTTTGTCTAAATTTGCAAATACATATATGATAAAGTTACATATAGTAAGGAAAATAAAATGAATACTTTCTATTAATTTTTGTTTTAGGTAGTTTTCTACGTTTTCTACGTAATTATATTACTTTTTCCGTTTATATTAATTATATTTCAAGTTTGCAGCTGAACGCAATAAGTAATTCGATATTACTATATATTTGAATGTGTAACGTAATCATATGATTTTCCTTTCAATTAATTAAAGTTATAATAATAACACTTGTTTAGCAAATATAAACTCATTCGACAAAGAAAATAATATGGTTGTACTTACAGAGAATGCCAACACAAAGGCAAGAGCAGCAAAGCAAGCGATAGTCTTCATCTTCGCATCAGCTGTAGATCTAAGACTGGATTGGTAATGATTTGGTCGGGTATTTATACGAAATCAAACAATTTTATCTATAGAAGTGGCGTATATTTTGCAGGAGTGCAAAGTACCTAGATCTCTATCTTGATAGCACCAAGAGGTTGAAGAGGAATTTGAAAAATTCGAGGTATTTGAAACATCAAAAGCCGTTCCCTTTTTTGCATATGATAAATTTTTTTTAAGTTGAAAATAATACGCTTAATATGAATTTATGAGATCATAATGCAATATTTTATTAAATTTTAAAACAGATTTATATATTAGATCCAGGAATGTTGCTTAAATGTTCGAAGTTTCGTTGAAATTTTGGTGTTCCAGGTGGCACATTTTCACCACTGGATGACATATTCGTTCATCTTTGAATTAATTAAATAACTGGTCCAAGATTCAGAGATAGTGCTATGCAAACATTGGTGTAGGTGTGTGTCAAGTCACCATGAGTACTCCTCCAATGTTTGCATAAAAATGACCTCTTCGAATCATGTAAAGTAAAGTGGGAGAAGTTTTTAACAATTGTACATGATAAACTAGGCGTGAGTAAAGTTTCTGTAAGGCAGTTTCTAAAATTGTCGACTTGTAAAAAATGTTTGGGCAAAAAATTTCTCGAAATCATTTGAAATATTTGGATGCAGACTGTTACTTTTTACTGGTTGTTGGGGGTACAATTCAATGCTAGTTGGATCACGTAGCCCTGGGTTGAGAGATATCTTCTGCATACCTAGATGTCTGGGATCGAAGAACATTGTTTCGCTTCATTTGATAAGATATTTTTAGAAAAAAAAAATAATAATTTGTTTCAATTAGTATCTTCGCAATAGAGTAATTTTGATTTATCTGTTGAGTTAACCTCTTAAAAGATTCTGATAGGAGAAAATGGGTTTTATTACAAGTGTACACAACATAATCTCAAGTGCAATTAATTTTAAGATATGAAATGCGCCAAAATAAATTTGAATGCATTCCAAAAATCTGAGGAATCTGTAGCTACATCAGGCTCCATGTTTGATCCTTTATTATTCGTTATGAAACAAGACGGAAATATTTTTATTTATTCATCAGGGGTTCAAAAGGATATGACGGGGTTGGCGGGCTTCCCTAACCCCATAACCCCGTAACCCGGGATGTATGATGTAGATACATGTCTGTGAGTTGGCAAGCTTTCATAACCTCATAACACAATAACCCCATAACCTAGGTGTACTCCCTAATCTCTTAACCTAGGGCATGCAGGTTCCTATTGACCCATGATCTAGGAGATACAGATTTGTGTTACATAGTTACTCCCGGGTTTTTTCTTTGTATCTATACTAAAAAACGTATTTCTTTGACTGCGCAATCAGTGAAAGAAAGTTTTTGCAATAAAAATTGTTCAACTAACAGTTTGCGGGTTTATGGGGTTATAGGGTTATGGGATTATAGGGTTACGGTGCAATGAGACCACGGAATCGAAGGTTTCTCCAATTTATGACTACTCAAACCGATTTGAGCGGGTTTGACTATGGGATACACTGAGTAAAATTTATTAAACTTGATGAAAAAATTAAAAATAGTAATGTATCTTCAACCATGCGGCATGGGATGTGAAAATGATAATACGATACGAATGATTCTGAAGAGATTTTAAATAATTTTTTNAAAAAGGGAAATAAAGTTTTTGTCAAATGGTTAGGTTACGATGACAAACATAATTCCTGGATTGATAAAAATAATGTATTGTAACATGTTATATTGTATAAGAATTGTAATAAACAAGAACAAATAAATGATAAAACTTTCTGTATTTGATTTTTAATTAAATCATCAACCATACTACTAATGATAGATCCATATATAAATAATACTTCTAGTTCTGCACGAACGGTCATCAACCTCTACCGCGCAGACGTCAGCCGATGTGACGTAGCCGGCTGAAAGCTATGCCGATCCTGCTCCAGTCGCCATCTTGAATTGTGGAGCAGAATCGGCACAGCTATTCTACTTATGTATATTTATAAAATATTCCATTACGGTAGATTTGCCAGCACAATTACCTACAATTAAAAAAAATATATATTTTCATAGTTTAGATCCTAAACTACTTAACATTTTGCGCCTGTCAGCCATACTCGTACATTATTCAAACATATCAACATAAAACAAAAACGTACGTGTGGGGTAAACCTTTAAGTAAACAATTGTTTTTTACTGTTGCATATTTCTAATAGTATACAAGCGCCGAAAAGCGGAGCTCGCGCTCGAAAATGGAAAGTTAAAGGTTTACCCCACACGTACGATTTTGTTTTATGTTAGTATGTTGAATAATGTATGACTACGGCTAACAGGCGCAAAATGTTAAGTAGTTTAGGATCTAAACGATGAAATTTATTTTTTTCTAATTGTAGGTAATTGTGCTGGTTTATCTACGGTGATGGAATATTTTATAAATATAAATATATATTTTTCCAAAAATTAAAAAAACGGTGACGTATAAAACTCGGGTGACGTATAAAACCTTACCAAAGCTGCAAAAATGAAGGTAATTGAATTTTGCAAATTGCTTTTGATTTCTGCATATTTACACTATGTGTCTACCAAATTTCAAGTGTCAGCAAAGCTTCGAACAAATTTGGCAAAGTTTCGAGTTTCAGATGCCGATGAATGTATAACACCTTATAGAACAAAAAGTTTTGCTCTCCTGATTTTCGGCTTTAGCGTCATTATTGTATATATATTGAACTATAGTTTTCGAAAGTTTTATCACTTTTTGTTTATAATTGACATTTTTACAGCA